CGCGGATAATTTCGTACTCGGTCGGAAATGCTAGCTAGAAGCTATATGTGGGGAAAATGGCGAAAAAACGAAGTGAAACAGCCGGAAGCCTGCGGAGAAAACCCTCGTTCTAATGACTTCAAAAGGGCTTTCAAACGAGTTTCCCTGTAGGCATCTTGTCAATGCACGTATGTACTCAAATATCCATGCAGCACCGCGGCCGCTTCATATCAATCCCTTCGCTTCATATTTTACTTAGCAAATGAAGCAATACGAGCATCAGGTACGGTCATTTGTGGCGGGCGGACGCGGTGGGCGTCCGGGTTGGTACGTTGCAACTTGATAGACATACCGGTACCTTTCTGGAAAAGGCCGCTTCGCAGCGCCTGCTCAGGGGCGCGTAATTCCGCTCTGCAAGGCGTATCAATCCTACTCCTCTTAGGGATTTATCGTGCCAATTGTCTTCAGCTTACTATGAAGCGTTTGATTAGCCTAGGCGGCTTTTATTGCACGGCGACACCTCTGATGACAACCTACCTGCTCCTTCTGTGTTCTACAAGTAGCATATCGCGAGTACTACAAGTTTTGTACTGTAGAGTACCGGTTCTATTACAAGTATATTCAAAGATTTGATCCTAGCATCACTATTCAGGCCAGGTCGAGTTGGTTGGTGGCGGATGGGTTCAAAACGACGAAGCAGCCACACATTACGTCGATATAGTGGATCAAATGTCCTTTGGACTCAGGGTTATTCATTTGAAATTAATCGAAATTTCATGACAATTTCCACAGTATTTTTCCATTTTCAGAAACTCGAACAATTGTTTGGCAACTGTGGTAAACCAGAAACGGCTTGGCAAATCGATCCGTTTGGCCATAGCAGGGAACAAGCTAATCTTTTCGCGCTGGTAAGGTTTACTATAGACTTACCTATCGAGTTAAGACAAGGATAAAGCTCTCGCTGTTGATCTGCCCCTTTTTGGGATGCGACACGCATTCTTTTCCTATTCAGAATCGTAGTGGGTCTCTGAAAACGATGTGGCCTAGACAGTGACTTGTTGGGGCCAGCTGATAC